TCGGGGCAGGTCCGGTTGTTGGTGATATGACTTTAAGAAACAGCAGGTGCAGCTCTATTTCCCGGTGTTTTTGTGGATGAACGTCTGAGTGGAGGACTCACACTCCTGGTCTGCAGCACTTAGGAGGGTGGACCGATGTTTCAAAGAGTGTTTTCGTTTGTGTCATGGTGGTTGTTTGGATGCTTTAGAAACACATTTAAGAAAGAAAGAAATCGGCAGAGAAACTGCACGGCTGGCTACATCTTTGGATTACTGGACTCCAGGACACCCAAGCCAAACCTTTCAAACCGGGGTACAACTTTGCTGCTGTTAATGCTGCAAAGAGGAACAAAAACATGGGTTACAGCCACGCTGGTCTTGATTGGAAGTAGGATAATGTTAGCTAAGGAGCGGGCCGGTTTCAGAAGCTCCACAGAGGACCCGCCCCAGCAAGAAGCAAGAACGGCTGCAAGCCAACAGCCTTGGCAGAGCTGCTCCTGGTCAGACTTGGCCGGGGTGCAAAGACTTGGCACATCCCTCCTGGGGGACATGAGCTGGTTAGTGGCAGAGTCCCCGGCACCTGGCAGGCTGTCATTGCCGTGGGCTCGACTGAGCTACTTTCTCACTTGCGGCCCAGGAGGGCTCTGCTCCGAGTGCAACTGGGAGAAAGAGAAACTGGACCCCAAGTGCCGACAGCGGCCTCACACAATCCTTCTGGAAATGGTCCCCAAACATTGTGGGGAGGGGGGCATCAGGACCCTCTGGGAGGCAGTAGAAATGCAGACTCTCAGAACATGCCTCCAAAGACCTGGACTTGGTTTGGGGGGACCCCGGAGACCTGCATTTGGGAAGCAGCACAGTGACTCTGTGTGGTCTCTCAGCCACACTCTTGAACACTGACTTGGGTTCTGGTACTTTCTGTCTGTAAAGGGAGTAACATTGTGGGGATTGGCAGCAGAAGCTTTGCTCTCATCAGTGAAATTGTTTGGCAACAGGCCCCCTTTGTTTTAGGACCACTTTCCTGAGGGCACCGCTGGGGACAACGCCCTTCCCAGCTAGTGTCTTTCAGAGCAACGGGACTTTGGCGTCCACCCCCCCAACCCCCTCCCAGAGAGGGCTGGCCTTGGGCAGCTCTGAAATCATCCCACTCCTTGTTGGACAAAACCTTGCAGGTTAACAGCCAAGCAAAAGCCCTGCCCCGCACTGTGGACCCAGCTAGTGGGAGGCCAATGTGCTTGGGGGGCGGCGCGCGTCGGTCTCACGGAGGTGTTAGTGGGGAGACAGGGCCGCCTGGGCGCTGCCCCCCAGAGGAAGAGTTAGAGAATGAAGTCCCATCCGGGGGGAGGCACCGCTGCTGGGCGGGGTGGGGGGGGTCTGTTAGGAGGTCCTCGTGGACAGTAGTTATTCAAGCACACGCAGGCCGTGGAGAGGGGAGGGGACCAGTTTGAAAAACAACAAAGCGAAAGAAGAAGTCTCGGGAGAGATGCCTGGAGCGGCAGAGATCGCATCCCCTGGGTTAGTGCCCGCACGTCAGTTTGTGTTTGAGCGGAAGTCACGGTGCTGAGTGTCGATTAGGAGGAAGAAAGCCCCCGGTGCATGCAAGGCAGCCAGGCCTACAACCTATGGGTAGAAAGAGAGGAGAGGAAAACACAGTCAGAACCCGAGCCCATGGAGGGGCAGGGGGAGCGACAGAGGCCTGGCCAGGGCAGAGGGTAGGGGACCCACTTTCCCTGCAGAGAGGGAAAAAGGCGTCCCCGCTCCATTCCAGGCTTGGCAGCGCAGCGAGCTCAGGAGGGACCCGGCACAAAGCACCCGTCCTAAGCTCCGTCCCAAGCTCCCCCGGGACAGTCACAGAATGTTTAGACAGAGGTTGGCCGATGGACCCATGGCCCCTCAGCCCTTGACTATCAAAACAGACTTCCCGAAAGTTCACTCTTTCTGCTTACTGCATTCCCTTCTTTAGGCTCTGGTCAAAGGGCACGCTGGACTTGGACCAAGGCTCCGAGTTCTCTCCCACCCCGGGACGAGCCGTCACCCGCCACAGTGGGTGGACAGGGGTGCTGCCAGGTGCTATGGGCCTCCGCTCGGCCCGGCCAGAGACCCGCAAGCCCATAGGACCCTTGCCGGTGGCCATTTCGCCTACAAGAATATCACTTTGGCTTAGGGGAACAAACCAGATAAAAACGGGGAAGCTGAATGCAGAGAGAGAACAGGAAGCAGGGAGCAAACAGGCAGAGAATGAGGGGAACAACGGAAGACACGCTATTCCTGCAGAGCCGGACAGGAGTTCTGAAAGTCCAGGTGGCTGTCATGCCCTTTCCCGTAGTGGCGGCTCCGCCAGTGACCGGGAGGGGAGGCCCGCGACCATTGGGCCAAGTGTGGGAGGAGCGCAGTCCCCGGGTGACGGCACCGGAAGCAGCCGGGTGGGGGAGGAAGCAGATGACAGGGCGTGGGGGGATGGCAGCACAGGCCAGAGCGTCCGCCACCCCCCGGAAATAAAAAAGCAATGAGACAGATGGGAAAGGAAAGAGAAAATGAGAATTAGAGGCGGAATGTGTTGAAGGAGGAATCATGGACTGGCAGGAAGCACTGACTGAGAGGCTCATTCAGGTGGGCTGGCATTTTTCTCCCCAGTGGCTAACACGGATGGCTCTGGGCAGGGAGCAACACCCATTTGCGGTTCTGTCTCCCACCTGTGAAATGAGAAGGTGGGGCTACATAGTCTTTAGGGAATCTGGAATCATCATCTCCCGAATGCCGGACCCGCCTAGCACAGCCTTCTCTTCTGTGGAGGACAAAACCAGGGCCCAGGATACTCAACACGTTGCCCCGAGTCCAGGGGAACCCCAGTCTCCTGGCCTCTGCCAGGGTAGCTCCTGCTGGAAACCCAGTTCCAATGAGCCCTCTTCTGGAGACCCTTTCTCAAGCTCTGGGTGGGCAGACAGGGCCCTGTGCGTGCTCCCACAAAGGCTGTTCTTTGTCACGGCACTTAGCATGTCAGCGCCATTCCCTCATCCGTTCACCAATTACACTGCAAGCTCCCGGCTGGCCGAGGCCTGGCCTTGGCCTTCCGTCTACCCAGCTGTGTAGCAGGTACTCAGCAATGGCTGGGTAGAACCCACACCTCCAATAGCAACATTCTGTTGCACCCTAGTTGCACTAGACTCTGACCCATCTTAATATGGACACTAAGGTGGCATTCTAAAAAACAGTATTCCCAACCCCAAACTGTCATTCCTCTAGGCCGTCCGTGCACATGGCCTAACTCAGCAGTTTATCACATTTCTTCAGTGAGTTCTCCCACCTGCATCCTCTGGTTGGGTGACCCATGCTGGGTCCCCCCTCACCTGTAGCTTGAAACCCAGTTTGGTTTAAGATGGGCCAGCCAACTATATCTAAGCCAAATCCAGCCACAGAAAGATTGATCATTTTAAAGGTTACAAAAAAAAATCAAAAACCAAAAAAACCAAGAACATATGATAAGAGATCATATGACCCACAAGCCTAAAATATTTGCCAACTGGCCCTTTCTAGACTAGGACGGATGCTGCCACACACCTGGGCAGCAGGTAGGAGATCCAGGTGCACCTCCTCCAGGGGCTCAGTAATGGGACAGCAGGTGCCCCAGGAGCCACCTTGGGTGTATGGACAGGCTCCTGTCCCCTCAACTACCAAGAGCAGCTCCACTTTATCTGGTTTATTTAATGGGACTCTGGGGGAGATCACACTTTTAGAAAGTGCCCTTTGCCTTAAAAAAGTTTAAAACCATTCCTATTATTCAGGGGTCTTTTCATGAATGGGCTGCTCAACCTGCTTCCGCACAATCCACAAACTAAGAATGGTTTCTGCCTTTCTAAATGGGTTGGGGGAAAAAAAATCAAAAGAAGATTTCATGGTATATGAAAATTGCACGAGGGGCGCCTGGGTGGCTCAGTCGTTAAGCGTCTGCCTTCAGCTCAGGTCATGATCCCAGGATCCGGGGATCAAGTGCCCCATCGGGCCCCCTGCTCACTGGGGAGCCTGCTTCCCCCTCTGCCTGTGCTCTCTCTCTCTCAAACAAATAAAATAAACATCTTAAAAAAAAAAAAAAAAGAAAGCTGCATGAAATTCCAGTTGGCGCATCCATAAATAAAGCTTTATTAGAGCCCAGCCAGCCCCCCGGTTTGCACGCCGTCCCTGGCTACTCCTGCACCAAACGGCAGAGCTGAGTCCTTGCGACACAGGCCATACTTGGTACTATCACAGCTCTGCGCTGCTGCTGGGCACGCCACAAATCCCAGGGACGGCGCTGTGACTCCAACTTCCCTCCTCGCCTGCAAAGCCTAACGCAGTCCCTACGCTAGAAGCCCACTCCCTGATCTGGCCCCAGCCCCACTTTTTAAGCTGCCAAAACCGAGGCCTAGAACGAAGGACTTCCTCAGATTCCCACAAGGGGTTCGCGGCAGGGCAGAGGTCTGCTTTCGAGTGTTCAGGGAGAGAGAGAGCCAGAGGGACAGAGCAAAAGGGGAATGAGACAGAACGTATAAGAGGCGCGAAGACTGCCTGGTACCAAGGGGCACAAAGGACTATGTGATTAAACAGAAGGCAAATGGATTTCCAGCATCAGAGTCGCACAGAAACTCAGGCCACGTGGTCCCCATCCCAGGTGGCTGATTTGGGGGCTAGCAAGCCATCTCGAGTCTGCACCCTTTTAAGTCAGAGCTGCTCTGGCTTCCAACTGGCCCTATCTGGCCCCTTCCAAGGCAGACTCCTCTTGTCCAGGCCTAGCCTGGGCCCAGGGTCAGCACTGCTCTGATTACAGGGATATGTAGGTTTTCACAGAAGAGGACTGGAGACGCTCGTGTCTCAGAAGGAGTCTCTGAAATAAACAAGATCCTGGTATCTCTTGGGCAAGGGGATGAGTCTAGTCCACTCCGGCAAAACTGCTTTGTGTATTCCCCAGATAAAAGTCTTACACAGACAGGGTGGACGGTGCCCTTTAAGACACCAGGTGAGGCTGCAAAGGCTCACCGAGGGGGTACTTACTCAGCAGACTTCCAGAAGTGGCCAGGGTGGGAGAGCCGCCGGTTCAATTTGGGCAGCTTCTCCAGCATGTCCATCAGCAGGGTGAAGCTGGGCCTCTCCTGCAGGTCGAAAGCCCAGCAGGCAGACAGGATCTCCTGCAAACAGAGCCAGCAAGAGTGGGAGTGAGAGCTGGCTGGGAGGGAGGAGGGCACAGCTCGGGTACTCTGCACAGGGTCCCTTCGATGCTCTCCAGCTGGGACCACCTCCATCTGGTGGTCCCCTGAAGAGCCTACCCATATTAAGAAGATTGGTCAGTCCAGGAGTAGGGCTGAGAAATAACTGAATCTCAGAAAAGCTCTCATGCTTTCAGTGGAAAACAAAGCTCCCAAGCTTTTTCCCCTCTTTCCTTCTTAGACTGCCCTGGAATAACAGAAACAAAGCTGAAAGAGATCAGAAAAGGGATTGTAGGGGCGCCTGGGTGGCTCAGTCAGTTCAGCATCTGCCTTCAGCTCAGGTCATGATCTCGGGGTCGTGGGATCGAGTCCCACATCGGGCTCCCTGCTCAGCGGGGAGCCTGCTTCTCCCTCGGCTGCTCCCTCTGCTTGTGCTCTCTCTCTCTCTCTCAAATAAATAAATAAATTGTAAAAAAGAAAAGAAAAGAAATGGGGTTGTAGGTTTTTCAAAATGGAAAGCAGAAGAGATGTAAGATGCTCAGAATATATGTGGGGCGGGGCTGCAACAGAGGTGGGAGCCTCCGTGTTACAAGAATGGAGGCTGGGAGTGACCAGAAGGATGAAAAAGACTACAGCACTTGAGAGTCAGCAGAACACCTGTCCCGACTGCCCGCCAAGGGGCATCAGGGTGGCTCAGGTGGTTAAGCGTCCAATTCTTTATCTCAGCTCAGGTCTTGATCTCAGAGTCATGAGTTCAAGCCCTACGCTGGCATGGAGCCTACTTAGGGGGAAAAAAACGGGGAGAGAGAGAGAGAGAGTAAAGCTCCTCTCACTTTGGTAACTTGCTGCCTACTGTCTGGATCTGCACATTTACTGCACACCTTTCAGCCTTTCAATTCAGGAGAGCTCCCATGAGAAAACAAGCCTGCCTACACAACCAGGCAGAGAGTGCTCACCCACTTAGGCTCAGCAACTCAGGTTTTTGTTCTTAAGTACAACTAGACCTTGTGGGGTTGCCCATCAGGTCAGGAAAACAAGAGACTCTGAAGATAAACTGACCAGAACACTGACTCTGGAGAAAATTGTGTGTGTGTGTGAGTGTGTGTGTGTGTGTGTGTGTGTGTGTGTGTGTATAGAAGCTACTCTATCCATAAAACAAGATCAGGGTGCAATGAAAAACATACCAACAAATAAGGAAGAGATTGAAATTAATAATAATATAACTTCTGAAACAAAACATTAGTTAGGAATACTGGCAGATAAAATCCTAGAAATTCCCCAGACCTACAAATTCCCTGACCTACACCCTCCCTACCCTCCAATGGCAATCTCAATTTTAGGTAGGGAAGAGAAAACATTAAAGAAGGTAAAAGACACAGAAGCTCACTAAGGACCAAATTCTGTCCAATGGGAGTTTCCACAAGAGAAAACAAAGGAACTATAGGGCAGGAAACTATATAATAAAGACATAATAAAAGAAAATTTCCCAGAAACTTGTGAGAGAAACTGGAATCTTTATCTGAAAAGGCCCAGTGAAGGGACCTCACTGAAAAAAAGAGTATCACACCAAGAAAAATAAACTTATTCTAAGGCATATTTTAATGAAATTTCAATGTAACAAGGATAAAGAGAAGATCCTAGATGTTCCCAGAGAGAATAAAATAGGGCATCTACAAAAGATTGAGAATTAAGATTAATATCAGATTTTTCAGCAATGCACTGGACACTTAGTAGATAGCAGAGCAAAAATTTCATGTTCTTAGAGAAGATTATTGTGAACCTCTTGGTGTGAAAACAAAATCAGGACTTGTTTAGGCATGTAAGGATTCAAAGATGATCTCCTATGCATCCACTGGGAGGGAGTTCCTTTAGGGTTCACTCTCATTTTGCTGGAATGCAAATAAAGAAATGGGAAGACATGAGATACATGAAATTCTAGTACTGAACCAGGGATGAATGAAAAGAAATGGAAGGATGACAGCACTACAGTAGGCCTAAGTAATTCCAGTATCCATATTACAAGAAATCAGTGGGCCCTGAAAAGAATGGAACAAATTCCATTCCATAAGCAGTATGTAGGAGCTACAAGACCTCAGGAATATGGTAAAGGTGGTGCTTGTGACCATTCTTGGCAAGAAAAAAAGAAAGACAATTAGAAACTACAGGAAAAACCTAAAGCTGCACAAGAAAACCACGGTCCACATGTGAAGCCAACAAAATTGTGAGCCTTTGAGTAACTGACAGAATGAAAGAAAAGAGATGGACCCACAAAGAAGAAAATGTAGTGAACTGCTTAATCAGTAGCTAATGGCAACTACAATCTATGATAACAGCACACACATATTTGTTGTCTTTTAGCCTCAATCTATAGACACAGCATGGATGATTTAATCATGTCAACACAAAATCAATCTTAATAAAAGGATAAAGGGAAAGCTGATGGAAGTTGAGCAGAGAAGAAGGGGCAGAGGGACAGGGAGTGAAAAGCTGCTGGAACCAGAAGCTGGTCTTTTGGAGAGTAACCTAAGGTAGGGGACTGCTGGTTTTCATTAAGAAGCATTCTGGCCTCTTGATGTCATCCTGTGCACACTACTCACTGTGGATGCCATGGCACAGAAACTGGGTGGTGAACTTACAGCAGTGTGGCTGGAAGGACAGAGAAAGGTGACTCCCAGAAGCCACTCCCTGCTTTTGACTATGATTCAAAATCACTTTTTATTGCCATTGACCTACACCCTCCTTACCCTCCAATGGCAATGTTTAAAAAAAAAAAAAAAGAGCAGATAGGGAAGTCAACTTTCATGAACCAGAAGCTGACTGCTGGAACATTTTCTCTTTGTCCCTACTTCCCTGCTCCCTGGCCCTAATCTATTCTTAAGAGGCTTCAAAGGACCCGTAACCCCACACTGTAAGAAATCCTTCCAGAACAGAACATGAAAGATTAAAAAAGTTAATTATGATCTTAGCCCCAACCCAAGCCAATTAAATCTTTCTCTCTGGTGGAGGCCCTGATCCTGATATTTTTAAAAGCTCCCAGATGATTCTGATTTGTAGCCAGCGTTGCACTCTGACTCCCTTGCCTCTGATGGGCTCTGTACTCTGCTCTGGGCCTTCCCCCTCTTGAAGACTGCACCTACCACTCTATGTGCTAAGACTCTAAGTGTGCGGAGATAGAACAGATTGCTGCCAGGAAAGCAACTTGGTATTTTTTCTTGCAGATAAAACAAACATTTAGGCACGCTCTGGTTTATACAAAGGTGTCCCTCATGACTTTATTGTAATGGGGAAAAATTGGAAATAACCTAAATGTCCAACAACAGAGAAATAGTTACATTAGGGTGTAAGCCAGAGGACACAAGGGTAGACAGGCTTAAAAACAAGAATTTGCCAATGATTTGAGGTAATAAGCATAACAAAAGACCACGTTGGAAAAAAGGTCATGATTTAAAAAATCAGCTACCTGTTAAGATCCTGATTTTGTTAAAAGATATGTATTTAAAAAAATTAAGTGGCTCGGCCAGTTAAGTGTCTGGCTCTTGATTTTGGCTCAGGTCATGATCTCGGGGTCGTGGGATGGAGCCCCATGTCGGGCTCTGCACTGAGCGTGGAATCTGTTTGGGATTCTCTCTCCCTCTGAATCACCGCCCCCCCAGCCCCCTGCCCCACTCACGCTCTCTCCCTTCTCTCAAATAAATAAATCTTAAAAACAAAACAAACAAACAAAAAAAACTGGAAGGTAGTAGCTGCTTTAGCTGCTATCTGAATGACTCAATAGCCAGGAGCCCAAACCTTTCCTACCACTAGCCCCCTAAGGGGTCCAGGGCTGTGCCAGGGAAAAGAGCACCAGGGTGGCACTCATCACCCACTTGCCTTGCTCAACAGCCCAGATGAGATGCTATTAATTGGCCAAAGAAGAGCCTGGTGTTGGTGCTACAGATCAGCACTCTGGTGTCATTCTTGGAGGAGCAAACTGTACAGGCAGTTTGCACTTCAACCAGATGGCAGGTCCTACTGAGGAATAAAGCGCCCCGGGCATGTCATAAATGAGCCTCCCAAAGATGCCCTAAAGGCTTGCTAACAGTCAAAGGAGGAAAATATGAAAATCTGCCAGGTCCCGAAGGAAGATCAGGTGCCCTCCTCACCGTGCCCGTCCCCGTTTGCACACGGTGATTCTACCAGCACTGTCCCTGGCTTCAGCAAGAAGCTCACAGCCCAGTTAGAGTTCAGCGGCACCCACACTGGGTGGTCCCTCCAGGCACTCCCAGTGCTAGGCCACCCAGATACTGCCTGGAGCTTGTTCACATCCGGGCTGGTGCCTATTCGTTCCACTCCTGTCTGACTAACATGGGGATGGTTGACTGCACTGAAAACATGGAGCCCTGGGTTCCTTGTACCACTGTGCTGGGGCCAGGAGACTTATAAACTGCAGTGCAGAGAAACCATCAACGGTATTTGGAAGCAGGAGGTCCGCACCTGTATTACCATCTGGCATTTTGACAAATACGCTGTGGAAACTTCAATTTGTTCCTGAACAGTTGAAAAGAACACTTTGGAGAGAGATTCATTTGATGCCACAGTGAAACCCCATTTGTGTTCGGTGCGGGAGAATTTTATCATATCCTTTCATGTAAGTTAACATACAGGGCCCTACTATCTTTTTCAGCTCATAACTCAATTAAAACCATGACCGTTATTTCTTTCCAGTCTTTTTTTATTTTTTAAGACAATGGCTTTTCTAAAGAAAAATAGTTGGGTAATAAAGGGCACAGCAAAGAGGCCCGCCTGGCATACTTCTGCCTTCAGGCCCCATTTCTCAGGTGAGTGAATGAAGGGCATACCTGCCGTGTGCCCGCCCCCCAACCCCCAGCCCTTCTTCCCCAGTAACAGGTGGCTACTCACAGTGACTTCCTTCCCCAGGCTGATGGAGGCCAGGACACGCTTCATACCCTCTCCGCTTCCAATCTGCCAGATCAAGGCCTCTGCAGCTTGGTTCTTAAAGGGCCAGTCTCTTGCTTGCAGTTCATACCAAACAGTCCTGTGGGGACCGCCCGCACGGCGTGAGCTGCTGAACCACCCGGCCCAGCTCATGCGCCCAGGGGGGCTCCTGCTGCCACTGTGCCGGGAACCCAGCCAGTGCATCTAGGATCCTCCTCCAGCTTTCCCCACCCACCAGGCTTCCAGAAATACTGTGACGGAATCCTGGTGGCTCCTCCCAGGTACAAGCAGACCCATGGCCCAAAGCACCTATTGTGGTGGGAAGTCTGAGGTTGCACAGGCTCTGAACAGAGATCCTGTCGAACCTCAGTGGGGCTCATGCCTACATCCAAGGTTGTTTGAGGAGTAACAAATACCAAGCCCAGGGCAAGCACCCACGTCAGGAGAAGAGACTACCCCAAGGGAAGGTACCCTGAGATTACAGGGTGAGGCCCTCACTCAGCCTCTCCAAGCTCCCTCACCTTTCTTGGCTCATCTTGGCCTTCTCCCTTAGCCCCCCACCGTCCAGTGCTGGGGCCACTAGCCGCGTGGGGCTACTGAGCAACGGACACGTGGAAAGTGGACCTGCGGGGTGCTGTGGGTATAACATACTCACCAGATGCTGGAAGCTTTGTGGGAGTAAAATAACTCCTTAGTTTTTTGTTTTGATGACATGTTGCAAAGATCACATTTGGGATCTACTGCATGAGACACATTATTACAACAGATTTCATCTGTTTTTCTTTTTTTAGTGTGGCTGGGAGAAAACTTTAAATTCTGTATCTGGCTCACGTTATATTTCTATTCTATTTTTCTTTTGGTCAGCTTTGTGGAGCATTAGAGGCAGGCTGGCGGGACCCCCGGTTCTCCCAGAGGGAGGATGCTGAGCTCTGGTCACCGTCCTCATGGGGCACTGGGTGAGACTGACACCCAAGTCACCTTAGTGAAGGTGTGACTGTCAGTGACTGACACCTTAGTCACCTTAGTGAAGGTGTGACTGTCAGTGACGAACACCCAAGTCACCTTAGTGAAGGTGTGACTGTCAGTGACTGACACCTAAGTCACCTTAGTCCTCGTGAAGCAACCTTATAGGAGGTACTGTAATTCTCTGCCTTTTACCGTGGGGGAAGAGGAAGTCAAGGATGTGGTCCCTTAGCCAACAAGGGCAGAGCCAGGACTCAAGAGCACAACAATCCCCTCCGGCCCCCCCTCTGCCAGCAGGACCCCTTCTTCTGGACACACTTGGCCTTCGAGCCGCAGGAAGGGGGACGTCAGGGGCCGCCTCACCCAAACGCATAGATGTCAGCAGCTTTGGAGAACGGCAGCTGGTCTTCGTCCTTCCCGGGGGTCATCTCGCGGACGATCTCCGGGGCCAGGTAGCAGAGCCAGTCATGGGACAGCTTCAGCTGGTTCTCACGCCTGGAGGCCAAGAAGCCAGGGCAAGGGCATGGGGCCTTTCAGCCGGCAGCAAAGAGGCTGCCTAGCACACCTATGCCCCAGGACCAGCCTACCACCCATGCGTGGCCCAGGAAACAGCTTGCATATCTGCACTGGCAGAGGCACCGGGGGAAGAGGGATAACCAGCTTCTTCCAAGAAAACGGACCAGTAACCGGTATTAGCAGGGAGTGGATTCTCCATCCCAGGAAATCAGTCTGCCTGTGTATCTTACAACCTGGCCTGGGGCTCGGTCTCCAGTCAGACTGCCACTCTCCCTCCAGGAGGTCCCCCTAGATTCTTGGAGAGAAGCCTTTCTCCCTACCCCCACCCTTCAAGATTTGGGGAAATAAAACCTGATGCTCTTCCTCATCACCTCTTCCTGATGGGGGTTGTGAACCCTAGGTCATTCCTAGAATATCTGCCCATTTCCCAAGCCAGTGGGGACCCAGCCTCTTATGGGGGTCAGCCTGAGAATGAAGTGCTATGTGCGAGGGACCCCACATCACCCAAACCTGATTCTGGACCAGAACCACAGGACAGGACCTCAGTGAACCTGACCTTTCCTGCAGGGAGGGCTGCCCCTCAGCAACGGACAGTAAGAGCTGTATCTCCAGGCCTGGCTGGCACTGCCCAGCCCCTCCCTGTTCTGTGCAGACACCCAAAGCCAACTTACCGGCCCTCTCGGACCACACCCGAGATGCCAAACAGCCCGAAGTCTGTGATGACCACTTTGCCATTGTCATAGAAGACGTTCTTGGATTTGAGATCTTTGTGCACAATGCCCTTGGCATGTAGATAGCCCATGCCCTGGAAAACAGCAAGCCTCACGTCAGCGGGGCGGGAAGATGAGGGACAATGATTCAGCTTCCACCCGGGCTGGGCCATGAGCTGGATGCCCTACCCAAGTCAGCTCAAGTAATCTTCAAAATCCTATGCAGTTGGATGATCTCCATTGTACAGACAAGGAAACCAAGCCTCAGAGAGGGGAAGTCACTTGCCCCAGGCCACACAGCAGTTAAGCAGCATTGCTGAGGTTTGATTCCAGGCTAGTCCATGTCACCATGCTGTCCAAGAGGCACCGTATACTTGGCTCAGGTGTGAAGTGTGGATTACGGGTGGGGAGCTGGGGGGGGGCAGGAAGTATATAAAGAGCAATGATACCCCCCCATGTTAAGTCATACAGAAATTGAGTGATCTACAGGGTCTCTATCAGGCTTTGTACAACAAGCCTCTACCCTCAGGCTGGGCAAGGGCTCAGGGTGGGGAGCAGAGAGGAATTCCCACAGACAGAGTCCCTGAATTCAGGTGGTCCTAATATCTGTGCTGGGGTAGAGGGAGTCCTCGACTACTACCTATGTCCAGAATCCACAGTCCATCCCGGCTCAGGTTCTCGTTCAGTGTGTGGCCTTGGACACTGGACTTCTGAGCCTATTTCCTCATCTACCAAGGGAAAGGGGCGGGGCTGGAGGATTTCTAACCACTCCACGATTTGGAAGTGAACACTGGCCAGGTGTATGGGATACGGGTCACCTGACACAAGCACAATCTCGTCCAAGGCCAAGCTGTCTTCATGAAACCCAAGACTCCCATGTACCCAGATGCCCTTGGGAATGGGGGTGAGAAGCCACCACTGACACGGCATTCCCCGCCAGCTCAGAAAGAGGCCCGTGTAAAGCCACCTCTCAGCCTCCCACGCTGAGGGCACTTCACACACTAGGAAGAGCCCTTCGGCGGCTTTCAAGGTATCTTGGGGTGAGAAGTAAAATAGTAAACAAGAAACCACATTTAGAAATAGAAAGAATGAGCCGTGAGGCAGAATCAGACAGAACTCAGCTGAGGCCAGAGCTCAGTCTGAGGGGGTCTGGAGAGCGTCGGAGAAGAATTTACACAGGCACTCAATGGGGAGGGCTTGGGGTCTGCTGTCCCCCTGCCGTGGAAGCAGAGGGCTCTAGGAAAGAGTGACTTGCTCCTTGCCAAAACTCCACCCTGAATGCAAGAAGGTCATTCCTAGAATATCTGCCCATTTCCCAAACCAAACCAAGGCACAAGCCTTCCTCAGTGGCCCAAGACCCCAACGTGGTCTGAACAGGGACCAGCTGTATGACTGAGGACAAGCTGCTGTACCCTCTGAGCCTTGTTTATAAGAGAGCTGCCTCAAAAAGCCAGCTTCAAGAGATAAGATGGGGGCGCCTGGGTGGCTCAGTCATTAAGCGTCTGCCTTTGGCTCAGGTCATGATCCCAGGTCCTGGGATCGAGTCCCGCACTGGGCTCCCTGCTCAGCGGGAAACCTGCTTCTCCCTCTCCGGCTCCCCCTGCTTGTGTTCCCTCTCTCACTGTGTCTCTGTCAAATAAATAAATAAAATCTTTAAAAAAAAAAAAAAGAGAGAGAGAGAGAGAGATAAGATGTCAAGTGCCCAGGTCTGGAACACAGACTCCCCGCCCTTCCCACAATTTCACAGTGTTTCCAGAGTGGCCCCCAAATCACAAACCTAGATCAAGTTCAGGACCCTGTTATTGTATTTTGAACCTCAAAACACCAAAGATGAGTACAAAAGGAAGTGGCTTAGAAGGTTCCAGCGGAAGGGGGCAGGGGACAGCTTTTCGGCAAGAGGAAAACCAAACAAGCCAGCAGAGAGGGAGCTTCTGGCTCTGCAGTTCTAAAATCTCTGAGTAGCTTTTCTAGTCTGCCCCTAGAATTTTCCAGATAGCTCATCCATCTGACCTCAGCCGGTCAGCAAGCAGACACAGACTCCCCAGTGTTCTGACCATAAGGAGAGAAAACTAAATTAAGGGAGGAGGGCAGAGCAGGGGAGACAGAGGGGAGCAGGGCCCAACGAGTTTGGGGGACACTATGAAGCAGGTGTGACACTCAGCAGCTCCCTCCCAACTCCTCTGAAATGAGACTTACCACAGATGAAGGCATAAATGTGCTATTTTAATTTTGAGGCTTTAAAAGTTTAATTCATTAATTCAGCCACCTGGTGACGTGGAAATTTTGGTTTGCTCATGAAAGTCACTGTGATTTTTGTGTTTTCCTTGCTACACACACACACACACACACACACACGATAGATGGAAGGGGGGAGGGAGAAAAAGGAAAGGTAAGGGTGGAGGCGGGGGAGGAGGCAGGGAACAGGGAGTTGGGGGGAGCCGGTAAGAGCGAGCTTTTCCACAAAAACAAGAAAAGAGAAACCCTGACCCAGCAGCAGTCTGGCTTTTACCCAAGCCTGCTTGGTGCTAAAGAAAGCAACTTATAAAGAAGCTTTTCTTTTATTTGTGTTTCACTACTTTAAAAAAAAGATTAAAGAAAGAAAAAAGGCTGCCTGAGGGCCAGTCCTCATGCAACCTGGATTTGGATCCTTGAAGGCGGAATGCGTGTGTGCTTTCACCCCGCCCTTAATCAGTTCTAGCAGACTCTCCCTGCGTGCCAGGCCCCGGCCCCAACGTGCTCTCGGTGGATTACCCCATTCTGCTCTTGTGCCAATCCAATGGGGGAGGCTACATTGGAATTCCCATCTTACGGGGGAGCAGGCCAAGGCTCAGAGACTGAATGACCTGCCCAAAGTCACACAACTGGTGTGACCAAGATTCGAACTCAGGCCACATGTCTTTCAAGCCTCCTGCATTCCTCCCCAACCAACTCATCCGTCATCACAGACTGGGTGCCTAGCTCCTGGTTCTAAGCAGGTGAGGCACAGACAGCGGGAAGGAGATGGGGTCCCACCCTTGAGGTGCCCCAGCTCAGAGACGAGACGAAGCAGGGGGATGGCCAGGAACCCTTTACCTTGATGATCTCCTGGGCAATCTGTCTGGTCTTGTTGATGTCCAGAGATGTCTTGGGGTCCCTCACAAATGAGTGCAACGTCCGCCCCTTGCAGAAGCTGTTGAGAGTGGTGGGGTCAGGCTGAGGGGTGGGGCCGGTGCAGCCGAACCCCACCCCTCGGAAGCCTGAGAGGAGCTGTGGAGAGAGTTGTGCCCCCGGCGTCCGGAAGGCTCTCTCTGTCCCTGGGACCGTGGGCACCAGAACCCCTGTTCTCCACCAAGCCCAACACCCATTCCTTCTTGGGCCTGGCCTGAGTGTGCAAAATCACACACACACACACACACACACACACACCGTTCCCTGTGGCTCCGGGCCTGCCCACCCCAGAACAGGAAACCCAGTTCACCAAGGTTCCTGGCAACCCAGAGCAGCCCAGCCTTGGAGGATTCGAGGCAGAAACAGGCCTCCTCAAACTCAGCGAAGAAGCTGGTCTTTTAGGACTGTAAGCAGACAAAATTTGGGGCTCTCCATAATGATTCTCATGATCATTTTTACTGTTCTTTGATCACAGAGATTTCATTACAGTAGAGGCGTGTGTAGGAGGGGGTGGCATCACGAGGTGTCAGTGATTACTGGACAACAGGTTCAAGTTTTCGGGCCTCCCCCTGCAAGGACTCCTAAAACCCGGGTGAGCAAGGACCCAGAGAGAATGTATGGCTCATTTCCTGTTCCCGGGAGAAGTTCAGGAAGGCATCTAATGAAGGGCCTGGTTTTAGGAAACCTCTCCAAGGAGATAGGATTCTTGGAGCCTCAGACACTTCGAGAACTGGCTGAGGGGTCTGGGATATTGGCTGATGGTTCCTTGTCTGTTTTCGAATCCCCTCAACGTATCCTAAAACGTGAATTTTTTTGGTAATGAACGTTTTGCTATTTTGATCTATGTATTCCCTTTAAGCAGACTCAGGTTCTCAGAGCCCCGGGTGGGTGAAGAGAGATGGACAGATGAATGGATGGACAGCGCTGGAGGCTGGGACCCTGGGAGTTGCTGAGCTGGTGTAACCTAAAGCATCACGTTGTCGGGCTTTGGGCTGGCATTTGGTCCCCTTGGTGTGGTGACCTGGGCGGTATCACACTGCTCAGGAATTCTGGTGGTTCTGCTTTATGTCTCTGATAAACAGGCAAAAGGGAAATTTTTACTTAGTAAATACAGTTTGTTTGAGGGGGGGAAAGATTCTTGCAAAGTACAGGGTCTGGCTACAGGGAATGTCGTCAGAATATTAATGAGGGGGCTCTTGGCGGATAGGATTCAAGGGATTCCTAGTTTCTTCTTGAAACCTCCATGTATATTCCAAAATATCTCCACTAACCTCTTATTGCTGTTCCTGACTGTAAAAGTAAACACCCACCGACTTTTTGAATGCCATGGGCCAAAATGTTTCAGCCTCACACCCCCGGTGCTGGGGGGATGGGCAGGCACACACCAAAGTTGGTGGGGGGGAGGGGGGACACCGGTGAGCACTTTCTGGAGTAGAAACAGACAGTATATGTCAGAGCATCACATGCATATACTCTCGCTTAGCACATACCCTCCCAGATAGTCACCTACACAGAGAAACAAACATGTTCATTACGGCAAAGTGCCCAACAGAAGAGGACCGGCTAAATAAACTGGGGGCGACTTGTGATCAGCCAGAGAGAGAACCCAGAGCCCGGGCCACTTTCAGTGATTCATGCTGGTAGCTTGAAATCAGCTGTGGGAAGAGTATTTATACCAAAGGAATGAAGAGATGCCACAAACTAGGGCTTCCCTCCTCACCACCCAGAAACTGGTGGTTCCACATTTACGAGCACACTGCTGGGGTCAACGATGTGCCAGGAATGCTGGGTGAGCGTTAAAGACTGTGGTTGGCCTCAGACCTGCACTCAACCTGGGCAAAGCAGGTGCGAACCAGGAGGGCCTGTGCTAATTCTTACAAAGGAATAGTTTAAAAAACATGAGTATACACAAACTTCTGTGTTTAAACAGAAGGCACGAGAAGGATCTGTCACAGTATCCACCTTGAGGGGGAAGCACCCAGTTGGGATGGGAGGAGACTGGTTTTCACTCTGTACCTTTCTGGAACCTTTGACTCTCTCTATCCTTAGGCATCATTTTGTTTATTTGTTCATGACAACGGGTTATCTGATGGGGAAGTTATACCCCATTTTGGTTCTCTTCTTTGCACCTTGTCCTCCAGAGCATCCTCGCAAACAATGGGGCCCCCGGGGAAAGGGTGGGGCGGGCAGGGGCTCGGTTACCTGGTAATGATGGCCAGGTGGGGCGGGTTCATGCAGGCCCCCATGAAGAGCACCACGTTCTCGTGTCTCGTCTGCCGGTAGTTCATCACCTCCTTCTTGAACAGCTTCAGGTGGTCCTGGTTGTGGCCGTCCATCTCCAGCAGGCGGATGGCCACCTCGCCATGCCAGCGGCCGCGGTGTACCCGGCCCCAGCGGCCCTGCCCGATGGGCTCGCCCAGCTCCACTTGCTCAAAAGGGATGTCCCACTCCTGCAGGTACACACTGGTCTGGCTGGCCTTGCGAGAGATGGGGCCCCGCCAGGGCCGGCGGGAGCTGGGCAGATCGTCCACCTCGTCGTCGTCACCCTCTGCGTCTGACTTGCCGGCCTCCGGCTCCTCGGCCTGGAAGGCGGGGGAAGGCAGAAAGAGGGGCAGAGGGTCTGGGGTCAGCCGACTCGCCCTCCCCAGAGCCCCAGGAGAGAGGCATGGGGTCAGGAGGCCCAGGTTCTCGTTGCAGCTCTGCACTGGCTTGCCGTGGACACTGGGCGGGTCACTTAGCCCCATGGGGCCCCTGAGGCCCTTCTTCCCGAGAATGCTCCAAGATCTACTGACGAATGACATCTAATCGCTGGGAAAAAGCAGTAACATCCCCTGGCATAGACGAATTTGACCCCATTTATCCTTTCTGGGCATTCCCTTGTTGAAACTGGGTTTCTGACCGTCCTCCAGGCAGGAGTGAAGCAGTCAGTTAACATTCTAAGCCTGGGTGGCTCGGTCGGTTAAGCGACTGCCTTCGGCTCAGGTCATGGTCCTGGAGTCCCGGGATCGAGTCCCGCATAGGGCTCCCTGCTCAGCGGGGAGTCTGCTTCTCCCTCTGATCTTCTTCCCTCTCGTGCTCTCTCTACCATTCTCTCTCTCTCTCTCAAATAAATAAAAATCTTTAAAAAAAAAAAAACATTCTAAGCCACATTGCATGGCTGGGGACGCAGGTTCAGCGGACACTTTGGTTCAAGGATTAAGACAGGGGTTCTTGGGCCTGGCTACGATCAGAATCATTTGGGGGGCTCTGACATCATACAGATGCCTGGCCCCACCCCAGACGGACTGAGCTAGAGTCTGCCACGCTGGGCCTGGGGGTGCCGCAGGCTAGGATGGGAAGCATGAGAGCTGAGAGCTTACTTTAGCTCCAAAGATAAAAAACCAAAAAGAAGCCTGCTTCGTTGCCTTCCTCATCATTCCTCCCTGCTAGGCACCTGCCGCAGTGGGCTCCTAAGATGGCCCTTGCCAGGGCCTGGCACCCACACGCTCCCCACACCCCTGTGTGTGTGCTGAAGACAAGGAGGAGAGGAGAGAGAAGGCAGGGTCTCCGGGCTGTGCGTCATCCTCACTCACCTCCACGTCACGATCCTCCAACACGTCCGCTTTTGGCTGGTTGTCGAGCCTAAGAATCAAACAGTTTGTCAGGGAGACCCTGAGTGCGGGCCACTCTGTTCTCAGCTAAGGCAGGGGACTCCCAGGTGAGGTCTGAGAAAGGGCTACTGGGCCCTCATCCTAACCGTGACCCACCTGCCTGCGGGAAAGGCAGTATGGATGCCACAGAAACGGACAGGAGGCTAAAGACCAAACCCCATTTCCCTTCTTTGGCCTCGGCCTTCTTCAGACTAACCTGAGGGTGGTGGGGAATGAGGGGTGGGCAGGAACCACCCAAGGCCCTTTCAAATCTGATGCCCGGTGCACAGGGTTCTGAATGAACACACACACACACACGGGACTTGAACTTCTACTTGAGAACCAGCTCTGTCACCTCCTAGCTGTGTGACTTCATGTAATTTCTTAACCTCTCTGTGGGGGCTTTCGCCTCCGTACATTAAGGATGACACCTACTTCGATACCTGCCTTCACCAGGCTGAGGACTATGTGAGGAAACGGGAGTCAAGGGCTCAGCAGAGCCAGACACGGGGAAGGGGATCCGCAAACAGGAGCTATTTTTAGTAGGTGTCTCTAGCTCCGAGCCTTTGCCCACCTCTCCTGGGTCATAAGACTGCCCCAGGTTCACACATATCCCTCCCCATGCGGACTGCACCCACAGGAGGCTAAGAAAACCCTCTGGGCGAGTTCAATTAGCCCAAGGAGTATCCCGCCCGGCTGGCCCAGGTACACGGCAGCATCCAGAGCGGGAGGTCAGACACACAAAGGCGGGGTGGGAGGTGGCCAGGGGTGCAGGTCAAGCTTTAACAAGTCCCCATGGAAAAGAAAGAGAACACAGCATAGGGAGGCCTACCGGGTGCTGTCCGCCGCGTCAGGGGATGGGACTGCCTGTGGAAATGCTGAAATGTCTAGAGGAAACAAAAAGCAAACACAAGGCCTGAGACTCCCTTCCTCCACCCCCTCCCCCAAAGGACACAGTGCTTGTGTAGCCGGCCCACCCAGTGGAGTGGCTCCTCCGCAAGCGGCCAGCCCCTGACAGGGCCGTGTCCCTGTTCACCAGGCCACTGCCACTCCTCAAATGGGACATGGATGCAACCTTCACAGCACTTGGTTGTGCCCACACAGCTGGGTGCTGGGAAGGGCCTCCAGGTGAGGGAGGAGGTTGAGATTCTCCAGTGAACCCCATTCCCCTGTGGCCAAACTGCCCCCTAGGAGCAAGTGGTAAAAGCAAACTGGATATTATTGACTGGACGTGGAGGGTCTGCTCAGAGGCGGCAGCTGGTTACAACAGCCCTTGAGAGCAGTGAGACTCGTGGGGGGCTCAGGCCAGCAGAGGCCCAGGGCAGGGCTCTAAGGGGGCTCATTAGCGACACCTGGTGCCTGGCTCAGCGGCTGGCATTTCTGGTGGGAGCCAGAGGCCCCGCCCCCTTGGCTTCTGGGTTTGGTGAGGCTGGCGGAGCCGTTCTCAGGCGAGAGCAACAAATGCACAGTCCACACCTCCAGGGGCCCGAAGACTGGGCAGGTGGGGCTGACCCCGACCGCGGGGCTTTCCCAGTTTTAGCACCGAAAGTCCCTGACCCCTCCTAGCCTGCGCACACACCTGGCCAAAGCCATATGGATAGTCCGGTAAGAACTTACAAATGCCCCAAATTGCTCCCCTAATGGAGCTGGGTTGGAGAACAGAAAAGCCCGGACTAACCAAAATACCAGGACTTCAAGGCAGGTCTGTTTAACCCAGGAGAAAAACAATTAGCTACAGTCTTTGTCTAAACACACCGAGACTTCATATGGCTAAATTATACAAATGCTTGTCATCCTCAGCTGGAAAAATAAGTACTAGCCACATAAACTCCCTGGGGGCAGGAATATGGCCAAATGCAAAGGTTGGCACGTAGCGGGTGGGCAAAACAATTTTTGAGGAAGGGAATCAATGAGATTCAAAGTTGTCTCCTTGAAACTTTCTAAAATAAAGCTGCATTTTATCTTATCGCCAGCAGATGGCGTGAGGCAGCAAGGCTCAGGAAGGTGAAACCCGCAGACTTTTCCAAACTGGCTTCCCTTTCTAAGATAGCTTCTGTAAGTAGCTTCCTTGTCATGATGTAGGGGGAAGATATCCTAACAGATGCTCGTAAGGCATCGGCAGAAAGGTCTCTCTCCCTTCACTCTGCAAACAGGATTTCTGCCACCTCCCAGCTGTGTGACCTTGGGTAGGTTGCCTATAGTCTCTGTTCAAGAGGCCGAACAGGACAGATGCCAAGGGCCCTCCCAGCAGATCACTGCCCCTGTGAAGAATCCCCCTCAAGGCGACCCACCCTGCTCCCTTTCCCAGCCGTGATACACAGCTGTCAAAACAGGTGTATGTGAGACTCAGGCACCTGAGAGGAGTGGGTGCCCAGGGGGGCTGGACAGAGGGCTCACGGCAAGGGGCAGTTAGTGGAACCATGCAGAGGACTCACCTGGAAAGATAAACTGCTGTCTATGATGAATGAAGTAGGCAGCTTTAAACAGAAGAGGAGGTGAGTCACACACACAGAACAGCAAATGCAGGGGCTTGGCGAGGGGGGCTGGTTACAGGGTGGGGCAGAGCAGGGTGACCCATGCAGGAAGGCGAAAGGGAGCTGGAAGGAAATGGGTGCTAGCAGGAGCCCCCAGCAGGGAAGGGGCTGGCCCCGGAGGACTTGCCGCAGAGGCCTGGCCCCTTCCCTTCGCCTCCCAGGCTCACTTCTCTGTGAAGTGTGTCTGAGCCCAGAAGGGTGAGACACAAGGGGGAGGAAATAGTGCCTGTGAAAGCCGGCTGGGCCTTGTGCAGAGGAGGGGCCTCCCTTGGCCCCACACTCATGCCCAGAGGTGCTGAGGCCTCAGCAACCCGACCTCACCATCCAAAACAGAACAAAACCCCACCTCTCTTAATCGGGACTAAAGGGGATGCGCTGGGGGTCTGGACTCTGAGAGTTGTCATATGGTAAAACAGGGGTACAGATAGCCTTTCCCCAGGTTTATTCTTCGACATAAATGGAAATGCCCCCCCAGAGTACAGAGTGGGTGCATGGTAGGAGTCACTCCTTCCCCAGGGTAACCACAGGGCCGGGCCCCGGGCACGGCCATGACCAGCGAGATCATAGATCCTGGACAGAGTGAGGGCTCCGTGCAAAGGACAATGAGGGCCCAGCCCACAGACGTCAGGGAAAGCTGAGAGGCTCTGGCTGACATCACAAAATGGGCTTTTTCTGTGGCTATTGTCTTTCAAACAGGGCCTTCCTTTTAGAAAAACCCAAGCTAGAAGTTTAGCGAAAGACCCAGTTTCAGAGCATAGTGACAGAGCAGAATGCAAAGAGACGGTCACTCCAATGGGCTATGGCTCCACTGCGGGCGGGATGGGTGTGCTCGGGACGACGCAGGAGATCCCCAGCCAGGCACACGTTAAGGCAAGAGAGAAAAGATTCCTACAAAATCTCAGTCTCCCAGCACCCCTGAAAGAAATCCCTAGGACCCTGGTAAGAATGGTCCAGAAAGGCTGCCTGGCCTCCTGCTGGCTGCACGTGGCTCCAGCTAAGGGTCGCCTGGCACAGAAAAAGCTCTGCCTCTGTCCTCCCGGGCCTGGAGCCCCAAGGGCCAGTGACAGATGGGGCCTGACCTGACCGGGCCCAGAGCAAATTGGAGTGTCCCAGTGGCCGCCAACCGAAATACCCAGAGGGTCTAGACCAGCTGCAAGGAGCTGCCAGGAGGGGCCAAGGCCTGGGCTCATCCTGAAATAGGCAAGTGGGCCTTGCTCTGTACCTTGGAGGGGTGGGACACCCCGGGCCTGGCTGAGAGACGGTGGACCCTGGCCCTACAGAACATGCACTCCCCCTGAGACTCAGTGTCCTCATCTGCACAGTGGGAATAACCTAATCCCAACTTCACGGGGTCTCCTGTTTTATGGGAACAAAGAGGGAACAAAAGCTCCCCCTTAAGCAGCTTATTCAGATCACAGAGCAGGTAAGCAATCGAGCCCCAGAGTCCCTCTCCCAGGCCTTCTGGGCCTGCCCCAGCTCCCTGCGCTCCTGCCAGGCTTTCTGAGCGCTCAGAAGCCGTGAGTGAACAATGCCCATGAGCTCCCATGCACAGGAGGGAAGTATGGGGATTGTGTCAAGAATCCAGGCTTTATGCCAGACAGACTTGGCTTTGATCCTGGCTCTGTCCCTTACGTGTTACAAAGCTCAGGGCGAGCCACTTCCTCTGAACCTCAGTGTCCCCATCTGTGAAATGGGTGTGGTAACAGCACCTACCGCAGAGCTCTCATCAGGTGTAAATACGGTAACATACTTGAGCTTGGCTCCCGGCAAAGGCTCTTAGTGGTGGCAGTGTTTGACCTTGAGCCTGCTGGCGCGTGCTGAGAAGGGACACCGGACCCCATCCTGAAGGCACACAAAAGCCCCGAGGTGCGGTACCTGGGAAGTTGAACCTGCTGTCCCGTTGGCCAGGAGAGGGGTTGGGGGGCGTGGTAGCACTGGATGGATTGGATGATGTTGGGAAGGGTGCCGGCGAGGAGGGCGTGGAGGATGTGGTGGAGGACGGGTTGCTGCTGGAGTCCAGGTGGTTCACGGCCGGAGGATGCTCCTGCGGGGCCAGAGACACCAGAAGTGGGCAGGGACTGTCACCGCCCTGCCTGGCCTGCCCCTCCCATACCCCATGCTGAGACCCGCCCCTCCCTGCCTGAAAACAAGGAAGTCTGCCCAGGGCATCCTGACATTGTACCGGTCTAATATTCAAGACCCTCACCTTGATGCCCATCCCCTAAGGTACTCCTGCTCATCTTTCTTGAGCTCAAACATACTTTCCTCCCAGAAGCCCTTCTCGAGCCCAGTGGGGACCACACTCCTCCCCCTTACCCTCCTATAGCTAGCACTCTTCCTCAGGGCACTTGCACTTTGTCAAATGCATCTATCTTGGGGGGTTTTCTGAAGAATTTCAGAAAATTCTGTGTGTCCTGTGAGGGCAGGGACCGCGCCTGCTCATCGTACACCCAGTGCCCGGCTCTGAGCAGAGCACACAGGAGGTTTTTTTTTTTTAATGAAGACAGTCTCTGACAAGTGTTTAGTGTGTGGTACACAGTGGTGTCTAATAAATGCTCCCTCCACTCTTTTGCAGACCTACTGGCTAGGACTGCCCAGGGGCCTAGCAAGGTCAAAGGGCCAGTGGAGAGAGGGGGCTACAGGTAGGACTCTGGCCCTGACCGATTTCCCAGACTCAAACTCCAATCCCTCAGGGGACAGGGCTGGAATTCCTTGGCCAAGAAAGTTGGGGCCAGGGGCGCCTGGCTGGCTTAGTCGGAGGAGCATGCAGCTCCTGATCCCGGGGTTGTGAGTTCAAGCCCCACATTGGGTATAGAGATTACTTAAAAATAAAATCTTTAAAACAAAAAGTTGGTGCCAAATTAGGTTAAAGGCTGAGTTCTACAGGTTTCTGTTTTGCAGGCCCTAAAGGCTCTCAGGTTTCCAGGGCACCCCAGAACCCACCAAAGCTACAGTGGGCCTCACAGTCCAGGGACAGCCCCCACCACCTGGTGCCACAGACCGGTGGGGGAGGGAGCTGGGTCCCCTGAGCCCTTCCTCTCCCTGCTCACCCTGCAGTGACCCTGCAGTGACCCCTGTTCCTCAGGGCTGGGCCAGCCCGGGGAGGTAGAGTAGCTACGAGGCAGGGTGAATCCCGGCTCCCCCACTCAGCACCCATGTGACCTGGTTCAAATCAGCCCACCTTTCTGAGCCACAGTGGTTCTTGATAAAATGGGGGTATCGGCTGCTGCTTCATGGGCTCAATGTTTACTACCAACACGTCTGCACTGCCTATTGTGTGCTGGACTGCGACGCAGCCACCAGGGACCAGGCGGGAGCAAGACCGTGAAGCCCCGCCCTCCAGAGCAGCCACCTGCTGGGGACACAGGTCCTCAGCAGGCAGACAGGGGACCGCACCCTGCAGCCGGGCCACGAAAAACACTGGGAAGGGCATGGTGCAGCCAGGGACCCTGGTCCTCAGCCCACATCCCGGCAAGGCCTCCCCGAGGACTGAGTGTGTAAATGCTGAGAAGTGTGTTTCAGGCAGAGGGAATGGGGGGGGTGGCAACCAAGGCCCCGAGGTAGGAGTAGGCAGAGCCACTATGAGCAAGGGCAGCTGGAGAAAAGGCTGGAGACACAGGCCGGCCCCTTAGATGACTGGGCCAAATGCACGGCCCTCAGAGCAGTGCCTTGCGAAAACTCAGTGACCATTAGCTCGTGTTATGAGAATGACCATAAATCGGGGTGAGGGAAGGACGACAGCTGGTCAGGGCCCTCGGTGAGGTAAGAGAAGGCACCACCCAGAACTATGTCAGGTCAGGGCCGGGCAGGTGCATGCAGGAGGGCCTCCTGGAGGAGGAGGGGCTCTGAGTGAGTTCTGAAGAACTGACAAGTGTGGGTGTGGGGGGACGGTGTAAATGGGGGGGGTTCATCTGGTGTTTGCCAGACAAGAAGACAATGCTGGCAGGGTGGGAGGGGCAGATGGGGGTGCCTAGTGTCCCTCGCGAGGAAGTGTGTCTGTATCTGTGACAGGCTGGACAACGCCGCTCCAGACAAGCAAGTTCGTGAACGTCTGTCCCCTCGTTACCCCTACAACACCCTGTCAACGAAGCATGATTATCCCCACTTTCCACACTAGGAAGCTGAGGCTCAGAGAGGTAAGGGAACTCACCCAAGGTCCCTAACTGAGGCGTTAGGGCCTTGCTCTGAGGCAAGAAAGGGGACTGACTAGTCGGGACTGGAGTTCAGCTGTGGTCCTACACCTCTCCATCCCTGGTGGGAACACCACAGCTGGGGGAAATGCAGTGACAGGTGAAGGGAGGCTGAGAGAGGAGACGAGCGGGCCCGTACGCACCGTCAGCTCTGAGGCACTGGCCTCCCTTGTCGGGTAGTAAGATGTGGAGCAGCCCTCCCCCAAGCTGCACCTTCTGGGTCCCTGGTGTTAATGGGCCGTACCACCTGCTTCTCTTCTCCCTGCCCCAACCTCTCCCCGGTCTGGCCCAAGCCACGGAGAAGCCAGTCGCACGCCCCTCTGTACGGAGGCAAGGGCATGCTAAGCCCTGGTCTGGGGCTGGGGCACAACACACTTGAAAACCCACAGCCACACCGGCAGCAGCCCGGGGGGAGGCCACCAGCTGCACGGTCACCAGGGGGCTGCCATCTGAAGCCACCATGAGCACAGGCGTCTTATAGACACCATGCGCACCTGTGTCTGGGGGCCACGAAAGGCCTGTCAGACTCGCCTTTCAAATCTGTGTAGCGGCAGAGGACCCCTGCCCTGGGCCTGCCCCTCGCTCAACGGGGGCGCTCTGTGCTCAGGGTCCTCATCTAAAATGTGATGGGTATGTGATTTTTAGGACTATTGTGAAGATCAAAAGAAAGATCAATGGAAAAAGTTCCCAACTCACAGTAAGTGCCCGGGGAAATGTTCCATTAAACTGGGGAGGGTGGTCACGGGCAATTAACTCCGATTTGGACATCAACGTGAAGTCTACGAAATGGCTAACAACAGGATCCCTGAAGGCCACCCTCTGGCCTTGGGTTACATGCCCCACTTCCCTGCCGGACCCCCACATTATAGGAGGAGCCCCGGGGCAGGGGGGGCTTCTCCCGGCAGAAGCAGCTGACCCGTGGGCCACCGCCCGTGTACCTTCTTTGTCAGTGCTTTGGGGAGGGTTCCGAAATGGGGCTCAGCTGCTCTGTCCACTGGGTTGTTGATATCCGAGGGGACAGATTCCGTCCTTCGAAGCCTGGGTTCTAGGTAAAAAGGGACAGGGGAAACCATTAGCAGGGAGCAGATCAAGCTACAGAAAAGTCCACCCCAACCCCCGAAAGCAGAGAAGAGTGGAACACTCACGTGGGAGGAAGGATATTCTACAGGCAGGGGCTTCCTTTGTACACTTGTTATGACATTTCAATCTGGGGAAAGAAGGCGGCAGGGTCAGTGCACGGAGGGCGACTTGGGGCTCCCAGGGCATGCACAGGGGCTCCAGGCAACACTCCCTCTTGACTGCCTTGATCTCCACGCACTTCTCAACAAACATTAACCCCGACATCTGGAATATTCCGCGTTGATCGTCCTAGCAGCTACTGTCTGCCTAACCTCCCAGCAAAGCAGTTTTAATCATACCCATTTTAACCTGTTGTGGGTCACACGTCTACTTCTCTTCTCTAAAGAAAAGGACACCCTCCAGTCACATTCAGAAAACTAGAGACCAAAATCTGAACTTACAAAAAAGATGAATCAGAAGGAGAGTGTCTACATGACCAAGGGATTCCCAGGGATGCGAGGGGCAGCCCCTCCCGCTGCCTTCCAGCACAGGCCACGTGGTCTGAGGGTCAGCACGGGCCCGAATGGAAAGACCTAGGCCCTCAGTTTGGTCCTATCTGCTGCACCCTGTCTTGGGGTTCTCGACAATCAAATGGGTTGACAGTGGGGCCCTACCAACCTCACACCACGATCGTCGAAGAGCGTGGGGCTCAGAGGTCATTCTATGCTCTCCGTGTGAAAGGCATTGCTTGAAAGGGAGCGGGAGGTCCCCAATTTAAAGCCAGGAGCCACAGAAGACCTAGACTGGTGGAAGGTTCTGGTGGCGTCTCCCTGGTGGTCAGGGGAATCATCAGGAAAACACAATTTATCCAACAGACATGCGTGAGACCTGTCGCCTCTGGTCTGGTGGGCTCCTAAATGCTTTTCCTACACACACTAGCTCAGAATCTGGAAGCCATCCTGAGAGATAAAGGACCCGGAATCATCTGCCCACTTGTGAAAATGAGGCCCAGAAAGAGCAAGCGTTTTGCCCCAGGTCACAAAGCGGTGGAGGGGCAGTGATCCGGGAGCAGAGACTCCAGGTCCATCCTCTGCAAGCAACGAAGGACACTCTGCCTCCTGTGCTGCTCCCTTCCTTGTCCTTCTGTCCCACCAGAAAGCACAATGGTACGAAACAAGGAAGCTGTGTTGGTATAGAAGCAACATTCTCCCTGAACTCTCCTCTTCTGTGAACACCATGAGCCATCTCTGTTTTCACCCCCGCCTGACCCTTCTCCCCATCTCGTGTGCTAACACATGAGGGTAAACTTCAGAACTCCGCAGAGTTTCCAGAAAAGTCCTCCCATTCCTCTCGGACTTTGTACAGGGTACAACACCTGGAATGCTCTTTCTTCCTTGGGTCTCCCTGGTAAACTTCTACTCAACCTTCAAAGTCCACCTCAAATTTCCCCTTCTTCTGGGAATGTCTGCTCGATGCCTCCGTCATCTCTCTAGAGAGGGCTGATTATACCACAGTGTGCCGAATGGGATTCCAAATAGTAGCTTTAAGAACTCCCAAAGGGGTTCCCGTGAACTCTGACTTAACCTAAGGCCAAGATGAATCAAGTAGTAGGACTCGTACTAAACTAAATGCATGGAGTTCACTCGTCTCTCCCACCCCTTCCATCCTCCGCGCATCACCTGCAATGCTTGCATTTCACTCCAAACATCATGCTCTTCTGGCACACGTGGCAGACCTGGGACAGCCAAGACTTGGTGGAGAACCTGCAGGACGTGGACACAGGAAAGAAAACACTCACGTGGCTCAGAGACCAGAGCCTGGACAGGGGAGGGCCCCCGGGAAACCAGGAGACTGGGTTCCATCCTGGAGTGACCGGTGCCCTCTCCCAGGGCAGGGATGCCCAGGCCCACTGCCTGCTCCCGGGCATTCGGAGTTCCCAGCCACAATGTAATCCTTGCCAAAATCCCAGTCAGTGTGGTCACGGATGCCAGCTCTCCGGCAGCAGCCATCGAAATTGCAAGTGCACACGCCGAGCGATTCCCGTTGTAGGAACGGATCCAACAGACACTCCCGTGGGTGTCCAATGAGGTACAGAAACTCCCGCGGGTGTCAAATGAGGTACAGACAAGGTTACTCCCCGCCGCGGGTCTGCAGCAGTAAAAAACTGAGAGCAGCCTATGCCGTTGAGGTGTGCAGACGGCTGACGATGCAAAGTACCATCCAACCACACCATCGGACACCGTGGGGCCAGAAAACAAAACAAGAAAGCTCTTTTTGCGCAAATACGGAATGATCTCCAAATTACATTATCAGGGAAAAAAGTACAACATAACTCCATCTATAGGAAGTTCAAATACAGGAAAAAGTAACCAATGAGGACAGAAGTGAACAGTAACCCCTGGGTGGTAGTGCGATGGACCCGGAGGGGCCGAAGATCAATTTTTTGGAGGGCTGGAATGCTCTAGAGCTTCACCTGGGTGGTACACACGGGTGTATCCATATGTAAAAATGCATTTGGGCTCTCAGCTTTATGTAAATGATGCCTCCATCTTTACAAGAAAAGAAGCAAAGGATAGAACAGTGTGTATAATACACATACGTATTTGCTTGTATAAAAATATCCCAAGAAACCGCCAAGATCTGCCTACAGGGGGACCCAGAGGGCTGGGGGCAGCAGCAGGAGGGGAGCGCCTGGATAACCCTCTACACCTCTTGATTTTTGAACGTCTTACAATCCAAACTAAATCAAAATTTTAAAAGTTAAAAAAAACACAAAAGATAGATTGGAAGGAAGGACAGGGGTTGAGTGGGTGGTGTCCGGCAGAGAAAAAGCAGAAAAAGTCTAAGGCAGTCCACAGGGTGGAGAGGCCGAGGGGCAGAAAGAACTCACGCTGTTGGAGGAACAGATTTTTTTGAAAGCAGAGCCTATCATAGTAACAACCGAACACAGAATGGTTTGTAATGCATCCAGGGGTCCCCATTGTGGTGCCTCAGCCACAGCCCCTCTTCCACGAGACTCCGGTGTACGGGGATCAGCCCTGACGAGGCTCCAGAGGGGCCTGGGCACTGGCCAGAGGACTCAAGTGCTATCTTACCGGCAGCGTGACCTCAGGCAAATTACTCAGGCCCCAGAGCCCCGGCGGGTCTCCACCTGTGGGCAAGAATTCCGGGCCAGCCTCCCAGGCTCTCTGCAGCTCAGCTCACGCTCCAGGGGGAAACGAAAGGCCGCCACAAGTCGCAAAGCTCTTGACAAGCGTGCCCTGTTGTGTTCCCGACAGCCTTTAGCAGGCACGGCCAGAGCACAGGCAACCCGAGGCGCCGTTCTGCAGGTTGTCCAGTGTGACAGACCTGCTGTCTGTGACACACACCAGCCTCACGGGTGCTGAGGCCACGCCTTCACGCCAGTCCATGTCATGGGCCCGTATCAGCCCATGCTGACATGCACCAGCCACCAGAGTCCCTAGAAGTTGTTGGAAATCCAGACTGCCAAGCCGAGAACTTTAGGGATGGGCCACGGGAGTCTGGGGTTTCAGAGCTTCATGGGCTCTGATGTGCAGCCAGCTGCAGGCGTCACATGATCTCACGCTGGACCTGCAGGAAGCTCTCAGCTCCTCCTCCCTGAGACCGACACCCGTGTTTTCCCTCAGTGCAGGGGTGGGGTCGGGGAGGGTCCAGCAAGCCCATACAGCCACTGGTGACAGGCAGGGGCTCCAGGTGGGTGCAGGGCTGTGTTCACAGAGGTGATGGACAGACCAGAGGCAAAAAGCCCCGAGAAACAGGGATCAGAACGAATCCCCCCCTCCTCAACCTGTGATGAAGAGCGACCCCTCAGTGGGGGCCCCAGCCCAGCTCTGGGCCCCCTCCCAGTCCCAGCCTGGCTGGACCTACCTGTGAGTCACCGACAGCCCGATATCCCTTCGTACCATCTGTGGGGATCCATGTGGGAGATCTGCAGGGAAAGAGTCCAGGTCGGCCGAGGAGGCCCGTGCCCGTGGCCTTCTAGCTCACAGATCACAGGCTGGGTGGGTGAGAAGACTTAGTGAACAGTAGATAAAGGTGTCCCTGAACATTCAAAACAGGGACAGGCCAGGGAGACCAGCGGGGCAGCGTAGTTACCCTCACGCCTGGCCCTGCTATTCCTGGGAATGTTACTGCCTGGTCTCCGCACGTGGTTCGGAAACCAGCCCCGTGTGGCCCCTAGCTCCAGGGGAAGGCAGCCTTGAGAGGCAGAAGGCAAGGCAACGGTGAGGACAGAAATCTCCACCGATGTCACCTCTTGCACTCCCGCACGGATGCATCCATAGGTCATTGGTTTGCAAGGGCTTAATGCGGGTCTCTTGTTTAGTGGGTAGGAGGTCTCTGGCCCTTGACGGCGGAGGGTTTGGGGCTAGTCAGCATACCCAGTACCTTTACAGCCACAAGCACCTTGAGATTTTGCTCTCAGAGCCTCCAGTGCCAGACCTTGGCACGCAGAGCAAGGACATGGTGAGGCTTCACCAGAGCCCCACGTGGGCCGGTCCCACTGGCTTCCAGAGGAGTCTCAGGCCACGAGCTTTGAGGGGAGCATTCCATCTGCCTTCCTGGAGGGCACCCTAGGCTCTCCCTGTCCTAATCCTGGGTTCCCCATTAGAACAGCATCCCCAGTCACGCCTTACAGGTCAGGCAGTGGAGGGGCAGCTGGAGGCGACCCCTCCATGGCAGCCCACATGTCCCACTGCCCCCTGCCCTGTCTCTGCCTGGGCACCCCCGCTCCTCCCCTTCTTCCCCGTCCTGCCTCTGCGCCTACTCAGCACCGCCTAGCTCCCCCTGGGGGGCGGGCTCTCAACTGTGTCCTGATGGGCTTCAGGGGTTCTGGGAAACCCTCTGGACTGGTAAGCTTTGTGGGCTTTTCCCTGGAAGGAGGGTCTAAACTGTTATCCAGTTATCAAAAGGAACCATAACCCAGGAAAGTGAGGAACATGGTGCTTGAGGGATGTGCGGCTGTCTCCCGTCCTCGGAGTCAGCAACAACCCCCCCTCTCCAAATGTGCTGGCCGGGCACACACCTGGTGCCCATTAAGTGCTGGTTCACCTAATGCCAAGTACCATATACCTGAGCACATAGAGAGGGTGAGCTGCAGGTGCTGACTCCTCCTCCCATACCAAGGGGAGTCTGATCAGGACCAAAGGGTCCTCTGTTACCCCGTGGTGATTCAGGAACCCCCCATCACACCAGCCCAGCTCTCTCTGGCACGTCTACCCTGGGGCTGACTTGTCCCAACTCCCTCCTGGGACCCACGTCACTGGGAGCAGCCAAAGCCAGCAAAGCACATGGGTCCATAAGGGGTTAGGCTGCCAGCCTAAGAGAAAGGGACTCTGGAAAAACGAGATTTCAACCACATAGACCCCCTATGGTTGACTTGTAATGTCTGCTGCGGGTGTGGGACAGGAGGGAGGGGAGACAGCACGAGGGCCAGGCATCAGGTGCCCTGGATCTAGATGAAACACTTGCCCTGAAGTCTCACTGCTGCGGTTCCTGCGTTACTGCAGCAACCGGGAGGCTGACAGGATGGGCTGTCCTAGGGATGTGGGTGCTCAATTCTCCCCCAAAGCGCTGAAGTTTGCACCCGTGTCCCGGGGAAGGGGCAGCGCAGCCTCCCTCCTTGCTCACCCTATGGCCCCGTGGTGAGCCGGCAGCCAGCTTCATTTTGGCAGAGCTCTGGCCTGCCATCCTGCCCACCCGCCCCCCGTCACTTAGACCCTGCTGACGGCTCCATCACTCCGCTTAGCCAGCTCAGGATAGGACAAAAATAAATGGCTATTTTGCTCAGGCCCAAACCAGACGTCTCTGCATTTCCAGGGAGACAATTCAAAGCAGACCCCAGAGGCGTGGTTGTTGCCCTCTGCTCTGCCTCAGGAGAGAGAAGCCCTACAGAGCAGCCCAGTGCAAGACCCTGCTTCCAACGTGGAGGTGGACGGCTGGAAAAAGGGATCAGGGGCCGCCGGGGCTCCCTCCGCCCCTCCCAAAGGGGCCTTCCCATTCACACCCTCCCATCTCCTGGGGCCTCATGCAGAGTCAAGCCACATTCCTGCCTCCAGGTTGCCTCTCTCCTGAAAAGAGGGGTCCCAGGACATCAGCTGACATCCACCTACACCAGACGGATGGCGCGCCTCTGGGTGACTGCAGCAGCCCAGCACGCAAGGCTCCCTGCCAGAGGTCACCTGTGGGGATGGCCAGCTACAGACAGAGCCTGAGTGGGAACTGTCCACGGCCCAAGATGCTCTCCAGGACTCTGCTTCACAGAGAGCGGCTCCTGGCTGGGCTGAGGCCACCTGTCCGAGAGATATTTCGCGAGGCGTTTCCCAGCACCTCTGCTTCTGGATGGTGCAAAGGCCAAGTAGGCCGAGAGAGGGTCAAGGAAATCCACCCCTGACGGGGACGGCAACACAAACACGATTCTCCAGGGTGGCAGAGGGGATGAAAATGAATCACTCTTACCAAACCTGCAGGAGACAAAAAAGAGAGAGTGGGATGATGTCACCATGCTGACTCAGCGTGTTCCCCAGAAACCCCCCCGCCCACCAGGAGGGAGCGGGCAACGTGCTCAGGTGAGGGCTTTGCGTCCCTGGTGCGTGGGGCCAAGCTGGCCACGTGACTATGGAGACGGTTCCTCAATGGAAAGGGCTAGAAATTACCCCCCGTGGGCACTGGAGCTACCCCTGTGCTTCACGCTTCCTACATTAGCTTGTCTAAGCCTCGCCAGCCAAGCAGCCTGGTAGGGTTCGCTCCGTTTCACAACTGAGCAAACAGCCTCACAGTCTCCCCAGGTCACACACCCGCAAGCGGGGACAGCCTGCCCAGAACCCTGCGGGGAGGGGTGCTCAGGGTCCAGGCAGGAGACGGGGAGGTGGCTGGAGCAGGAGGACCATCACAGTTGTGAGAACAGAAAGGCGGTCCTCAAGGAGGGCCAGATGGGGACATGCCCTGCGCCAGCCTCCTCAAGGGGTGCCACTATCCCAGCAACGAAGAAAACTGGGGGAGACTTAGGCCACCTAGTCCGCCCTCTGGGCTCACTGAGAGCAACAAGGTGACCTGAGTGTCCATGTCAGGGCTAGTTCTAGTGGCTCTGTGTGGACCCGACTCAGAATCCCAGGGTGAGGCCCAGCTCACCAGCTGTGGGATCTGAGGACGTGGAGCCATCTGCCTGAGGCTCTGTTCTCCGCCCAGAGCCCAGAACGAGACCAGAGTCCTTCTGATGCTCTTTTTAGGGGGAAGATGAGAAACAGACGCATCGGGTTTACCCACTGAGATGCCCTCTGATGACCCACATCCATGTGTCCCCATGGTAGTTATACTCTCTGGGAGAGGAGGATCCAGAAGGGGAGGAAGGCTGCAGTCCCTTCTGGGGGGTGTGGGGGAGGACCGGGCCCCAGCAGGACAGGCTGATGAGGAGTGGCAGGGTAGGTCACAGCATGGATTTCTCTCCTTGGGTGACATACTCAAAACCATCAGAGATGTCCAGGGCCCATCCCAGAAGGGACCCAGGACAGCCTACACTGGGACACAGGGAGCAAGCCTACCCAAGACCAGAAAAGGAGAGCCCGTGTCAGGAGAAAAGCCAAGTCCTCAACCCTCAGAGGTACAAGAAGGTAGGAAGCACCCAAAGAAAACTCCTTCCTGGGGCACCTGGGTGGCTCATTAAGTGTCTGCCTTTGGCTCAGGTCATGATCCCAGGGTCCTGGGATCGAGCCCCACATCAGGCTCCCTGCTCGGCGGGAAGCCTGCTTCTCCCTCCCCCACTCCCCCTGCTTGTGTTCCCTCTCTCACTGTCTCTCTCTGTCGAATAAATAAATAAAATCTTTAAAAAAAAAAAAAAAGAAGAAAACTCCTTCCTTCCCCTCTGCCCTGAGCACAAGAGTAGACTGACAAGGGCAATTCTTATAGTAGCAGAACCGACAGTGACCTGAGAGAAGATAGTTAAAACTATACGATGCAATGATATGAAGTCAAAAAGATTAGGTAGTTCGAATAATTATAGGTACATGTAAAACCGGTAACCTGGTTGGCTCTGCAGCGCGAACGGGGAGGAAAAATGGTGGGGGAACCGCACACCGTCGGCCCCTGCAAACTACAGGAGCTAGGAAGCTTCTGCGTCTTGGACTTTGTCACCATTAGTACCTACTTAAGTATATAGGTTAACAACATTTTTTACATAAAAGAGTAACATATTTTAAGATGTATGGACGTGAAGTTCTCAGATATCAAGGTAAGTGGAAAAAAATAGGTTAGGGGCACCTGGGTGGCTCAGTTGGTTAAGCATCCGACTCTTGGTTTCAGCTCAGGTCGTGATCTCAGGGTTGTGAGATCGAGCCCCACGTCGGGCTCTGTGCTCAGTGGGAGTCTGCTGGAGATTCTCTCTCCCTCTCCCTCTGGCCCTCCCCCAGCTCGTGTTTGCATGCTCTCTCTCTCTCAAATAAATGAATAAACCTTTGGTCGGGAAAAAAAAATAGGTTCTAGAATAGAGTACATGGTATTTGATAATCATTAGAGGTTTCAGCCAGATATTCCAGTTCTCCCTACCTCGGCACACGAGAGAATTACATTTCTTGGTTCCTTTGTTTGGGTGGAGCCATGAATGGTGAGTGGAACTTGCAGGAAAGAGTGTGTAATTACTAGTGTATACAGCTAAAATTCTTTTTCCCTCTGCCTTAGTGGAATGTTCCAGACAGTGTTCCAGAAAGTGGCTGTTCTGTCAGCCTGGGGCCTGGAATGAGGCCGACCCACAGTGGACAGCGGCATGAGCAAAAAATAGATCTTTGTCATTTTAAGACCCAGAGAACTAGGGGTTACTGCAGCAGAACCCAGTCTATCCTGACTGATGCATGGTACCATTCTGTGTGTGTGTGCGCGCGCGCGCGTGACGGCGCGTGCACGCACATGTCCAGAAAAGAACCTAGCAGGCAAGATTCAGTCCAAACTGCTAACGAAGCCTGGAGAGTGGACTGAGACACAGAGGCACTTTACACTTGGCACCCTTCTAGGTCGGTTGATTTTATTTGTCCTTTGAAAATAAAGCCCATATTCCCTTTATGATGAGAAAACCGTAGACAGAACTTTCAGTGGATGGCACACTGAGCACCAGCCTGGCGGGAACACTCACGTCATCGGGGAGACCTCATCAATGCGGTTCCCCAGCTGAGACTCATGGGACTTGCTCCGGGTGAGCGTGGGGAAGCTGGGCAGCAGCTGAAAAACCTTGCGGCTGGGCGGGGGCGGCGTCCGTGGCGGTTTCAGCTTGGTGTGCCTTCGCAGCTGGGGTGTGGTCGGAGGGGTGATGAAGCTGTGCAGGGCCCGGGGGGTCAGCCGGCCACTGGTGTGCAGGAGGATACAGGTGTCCGAGAGGCCCTCACAGGGGCCGGGGATTGGGGAGTCTGAGGTGGGCAGAGCGGACACAGACACGGAGCGTGGGCCCTGGGTGCTGCCGCCCATTCTGCCCAGCTGGGTGCCCCCTGGGGGCCAAGGCAGGCTGGCCGGTGAGAGGGCGTCCGCGGAAGGCCCTGAGCCACTTTCCCGCCGGGCATCCAATGAACTCCAGCCCGAGTCCTCTTTGTGCTCTCCTCCTGTGGGCCAAGAAGTGGGGTCACAGATGGTCAGAGCTAGAGGGACTTACTAGCTGGGTGAGGTGGCCAGGGCCCCGAGGTTAACACCTTGCCCAGGGCTGCACGGTCCCTTCTCGGCAGGCTTCGACTCGCAGCCTTTATACGGGCCTCTTGCGCGCACACATCACCACCCGTGTCGTCTGTGACTGTGAGGCCACCAGCTCAGATATTACTGTCCCCATTTTATAGAAGGGAAATGAGGCCCAGAGACAGAATGGCTCGTCTAGGATTCTTGCTGGCAGGTCTGCGGGGAGCAAGCCGGGAAACCCAACCCCAAAATGGGTGACCTCAGAGAGGGAAGTGGTAACTGATCTTTAAGAGTCAAGGAGTCAAGAAGGAGAAGCTGGGGTGCTCAAAGGGAATAACTCCATGTCAAGAAAATTCAAACACCAGGAAAGGGGCGTACCAACCTTCATTAGTAATCTGCCCTGGGAATTTACTATAGGACAGAAATCCAGTTAGAAGAGGATCAATAGCCAATTCCTTCTGAGAGGCACCCGTGACTTTTGGCTGCCCACACAGCGGACCCCCGAGACCTTGAGGCTCTGGGCAGTTCCAACTCAACGGCCCAGGCTGTCCATTCATTCAAGCATATGCTGGATGCCGGGTGTCAGGCCATGAAAAAAGACATCCACTGTGCTCAGACAGTCCAAACAGCAGGACAGCAGCGTGCTGAGACAGAGACGCCCAGGCCCTGAGGGAGCATGGAGAAGGGGGACCCTAACTAGCCTGGAAGTCGGGGGCTTCCCAGAGGTGGCGGCGTTTGGGCTAAGCCAGCTGGAGAAGGTGAAGCAGATGCACCAGGCAGAGGAAACAGTACATGCAAAGGAAGGGAGCCCACCTTCTGGTGACTACGAGGAGTTCCTCGTGCCTGGAGAGGTCAGGACGAGCTAGAGAGCTGCAAGAGGCCAGCTCAGGAGGGATCTCGGAGGCCTCGCCAAGGACTTTAGGTTGGAGCTTATAAGGGATGGAGAGATACTAAAGGTTTGGGGGCAGGGAGAAAGGAGCCTGTCTACAGAGACCCCAATGCGGGGAAGGAAAAGACACCTCCCTCCTTATTTTACCAGTGAGGGGAAAGTACGGGAAGGTCGAGGTTGACTCAAGACAAGACGAACTTCCACACTGGAGTTATTCCACTCTGTGCTTTCTCCCCTGTATCACTCAGTCTTCCCAGCATGTCAGGGAGGCCAGGAACGCTGACAAGGTCAGGCAGCTAAGCGCAAGGTGGGACAGGAACAGTGCCCTCGGTCCCGACCGCGGCACTAGGCCTCCTCCCACAGGCTGTCCATCCTAAATGGCCTACAAATACAGCTCAGCCTGATGAGCCAAAGAGCTCTCTGTCATCAGAGGTGCTCCAGCCCAGCCCGGACAGGCATTGATCAGGGATGGTGGAGAGAAACTGGCCTTCACAGTGCTCAAGCGCTCTTTGTACACGTCCTCCCTCCTCAAGGACCCTTTCCCCTACTTCACTGCCTCAGGACTTTCTTCTCAGGAATCAGCTCCATGGAGTGAGTGACTCAGTCCGTGTGTTCCTTGTGTTTGCTCTTGTACAACCTGCAGCCACAACTGTAACTTAGAGCCTGGCCTCCGGGAGGCTCTGGCCTATCTCTTCCTGAGGGGATGGAAGAGCGAGTTCCGTGATCCATGCGCAAGTCCGCCACCCAAGGAAACGAGTCCCAAACGCTTCAGACTGCCCATTTAATCTCCGCTGCTTTGAGCCGCCCAGGGATGGCACATGGGTCTCAACGCGCACGCCAACACCAGTTAACCGGCAGTGGCTCTTGAGAATGACTCTGGAGTCACTCAATAGGAAGAGCTGGGGAGTGATTAGGGACGTGTGCTATGGATTAGGGACTAAAGCATCAGCAGAAATGATCTCCCTTGTTCACTGGCCACTGGCACGGAGAACCATCCTTCACTCACCTTTCTTAAGACCAGGGGCCACAAGGCAAATGTGTTCAACATTTTCCAGGACCCTGCAAACTTAATACTGAAAAGAGCACTAATATACGCCAGGCTCTGGTCTAAGTACTTGACGGTCACTCATTTCATCCTTACAACAACACGATGAGAGAATGCTGTTATGACCTCCAACGTACAGATGAGGAAACTGAGGCATGGTGGGGTTAAGTCACAGACCAAGGTCCCACAGATTCTAGGAGTGCTGGGCCGAGACAGATGGATTCCACGGTCCATCTTTACTGCAATTAGACTGCTCTCACCAAGCCCAGTTAGTTGCAATAAAGACTATGACCACATGATCTGAGAGGCAGGGCGATCACAGTCCCCACCCAGTCCCCAGCAGGTACGCCAGGAGTATGGTCACCACTGGGCAGACCCATTTGGGTGAGGTGTGGCCAGGACCCTCTTGCGGACGTAGAGGTACCACAAGCTGAGACCAGATGAGAAGGATGTGGAAAAGACCCTGTCCTCCCCAGAGCCCTCCTCTGGGGCATAGTAGAAAAGCCCCCTCGGAGGAAGAAACCCAGCTCTGGGGCATGCCAAGTGTGGTACCCCAGATAACTCACCCAATGCCGCTGATGCTCTAGCTACAAGAGGTTCTCCCCACCACCACTTAAAAAGGTGTTGCCACTTGGGGAGCCTGGGTGGCTCAGTTGGGTAAGCGACTGCCTTCGGCTCAGGTCATGATCCTGGAGTCCCGGGATCGAGTCCCACCTCGGGCTCCCTGCTCAGCAGGGAGTCTGCTCCTCCCTCTGACCCTCCTCCCTCTCATGCTCTCTGTCTCTCATTCTCTCTCTCTCAAATAAGTAAATAAAATCTTAAAAAAAAAAAAAGGTGTTGCCACACACATGTCAAGTGCCTGGCTTCATAAATTCGCGTTAATGAGTTGGTGATCCCCCTAGCTTGGCACCTAGGACGGGCAGTCACCTTCCCAACACAAATAGGTCACCACCCCTCTTCGACTGCTGGCTCCTCCACAATTCTTTTACAATTCAGGCATAAGGAGGGAAGGCTGACAAGTTACCCACCCCAGTCCCAGCTTGGGTGGCAAGTACTTCTAAATTTCCACAATGTGGAAACAAGCTAGCCACCCACAAAGATTGAGGCTGGAATCCTAGCTCTGTCACCCACTGCTGGGTGTCCTCAGCGAAGCCCTTTCCCCTCTTTGGGCTCCATCTCCTCTGTAAAATGTGGGAATAAGAATGTGGACTATGTCTCTCTCACGTTTATTCTGTGGCCCCTGCTGGGAGGCCTGGCCTGTCAAGGTCTTCAGAACTGAGTGAAGCTCTCCATGCTGGGCTCTGTGTTCAGAGGAGGACTTGGGACAAGGGGGTCCAGGAAGAAATCAAGCCCAATCCCCTCTGGGGGGGCGGGGAAGGGGATCAAGCAGACTATAAACCCAGTAGCTTCCTTAAGCCTCAGTCAGCCAGAAATAAGACAGGTGGCTCCGATCATTAAAAATGGGACTAATTCCATTCATTAGGCTCACTGTAAAGCCTTATCGGTATGGTATTGGGAATGTGAAATCACGGCATTTAAAGCCGTTTCCAAGGCAAGATTTAAAAAGCCTGTAAATAACTCCCAAGGAACTCCTCGTAATGCCAGGATGACACACTTTGCCTGGGGCGGCCATGTACACACTCACAGCTGAAATACCACACAATTTCTCTCATCATGCTTCTGCCTTCTGAGCACACAGCCCAGCAGCCAATGGGGACAGGAGAAGGTAGGAAGCAGGCTGGGGGTGAGCCGGGCTGGGGAGGGGGTTGGAACGCAGGGAGCCGAGGGAGGGTTCAGAGCCCAACAGATGTGCTCAAAACGGGAAATCACACAGGGCCCACCCAGTGGGCCGGACTGGGGTCTCTGGCAATGGCAGAAGCTTCCCTGGGTTCATCCTAGCCAGAGCAGTCAGGATGCAAACCCTCTATCTCAGATCACACACTCTCTGGCCTTTCCAAGCTGCCCCAGAAACCCTAGGACATACTTGCCCCACCCGAGTCAGTGGCCCCAGGGAAGCAGGACAGGCCTGGAGAGAGAAGCCTGCTATTTCAGCCCCGCTGGAGGGGCAGGGAGCCGATGGGGCCGGCCTCAGCACTGGGGGGGCCAGTCCTACCTACCCAGACCTGTCACTTTCCGCAGGCAGGCAAGGGCGTACTGCAGGCGGCTACACTCCTCGGCATTGGCCCCGTAGCGCCGAAGCGTCTCCTTCACCTTGACCTCGTTCATGTCCAGCAGGGCATCCAGCGTGAGCTCGCTGAGGATCTCCTGAGGAAGCACAGAAGGGAGAGGCAGAGAGCTGGTGAGCAGTCAGGCCGGCCTGGGCTGGGCTCCCCCGCTGAGTGGCAGGGGCCAGGTGCTGGCAGGCCGGCCTCGGGACCAGAAGCCACCACCTGTCAGAGGACACAGGCAGCTAGCTCTCGCCCCCAGCCCCAGCACTCCCAGAGACAGCAGCTGAGGTTGAGACACCAAAGCTTCAGGGCTGGGGTGGGGGGAAGAACAGAAAAAAAAACGAAGTTATGATGAGGGCACGTTGCCTGCTTGTTTCTTTTTATGCCTCTGTGCAGAAAAATGATGAATCATGACAACTTCTTAGAATGACAAGAACTTCAGATAAAGATGGCCCTTTGCAATTTTGCTGTATCGGAATTAGACAAGATAGATTCCAAATAAAACTGGCTTAACGAGAGAAGGGTTAAAAAGAATTAACCCTCACGAAACACCGTCTAGGACCTTACTACCTCGCCTTATTTAATTCTCAGTCAAAACCTTTCAAGGATTCAAGGTAGCAGGGAGGGAGGGAGAGACTCAGGTACGAGAAGGACTCCCTGTGGCCTCTAAGGATGGAGGGGCCAGACGGGAAGGGACGCAGGGGGGCTTCTCGGAGAGAGAGTGGCCCCTGGCAGACCAGCATGGGAAAGGGAGCCTCAGACCTACAGCCAGAAGGAAGTGGCTTCTGCCAACAACCTGAATGCACCTAGACACGGCTCCTTCCCAAAGCTTGCAGGTAAAAGGCCAGCCCTGCTGACACCTTAAGTTCTTGGGCCTGGTGAGATCCTCCATCCTGTTCTCCTCCTGCCGAACTGTGAGCTAAGAAATGGGGGATGTTTTAAACTGCTGTGTTTGTGGTTATTTGTTATACAGCAACAGAAAACTAATACAGAGAGTGAATATTTGAACCAAGGCCTGACTTCAAAGCTTGTGCTCTTTCTTCTCATCAAGAAGGGAGAAAACCCCTCCGGTTCTGACTGCTTTGAGCCATATGTGATACCCAGTTCGGAGCAGACAGAAGCACATGTCTGTGGCCTCCAGGGGCTTGCAGGTAACTGACATAAAAAACCAAGTCACTGCAAAGCAATATAATATGGCCTAGCACAGAGAAAGCTCAAAGAGCTACCTGATGGGGGGCGGGGAAGGCGGGGTGGGACTAGGGATCAGGCTATTTCTTCTTCTTCTTTGGCCCCTTTCATTATTTTCCAGATTTTCTATGTGAGGGAAGGCCACATCCCACAGCAAATGATTCATATAAGGCTTGTAGTTCTTCAGAATCTAAGCTGATTTTCACTCATGTCAGTTTGCTGTGTAATTTTCTTTTAGAAAGAGTTACTGTCCATTCACGCGGCTGTAAATCATAGACTTAGCTGTCGAACCTGAACCTGACGGAGATACTGGCTGTGAATCCTTAGAGCAATGATCTGGGTTTGTTTTTTTTTTGCGATGCTGGTGGTGGGGGCCATCACTGAGGCCTGGGCTCTGGCCATGTCCCAGCCCCACCCCCATAACCTTTTCGTCTTGTCAGTATATTCTTCAATCTCCAGGGCTGTGGACAAGAATCTCATAGCTCTTTAGAGTGATTCACACTGAAATTTGGAGAAACAGATGCGAAAAAAGCACCAAGAAGCTCATCACTGGCTGGACAAACCCTTGGTTGTCAGAAATCCTTCCAGACGATATAACAAGAGCGTCACAGGAAACCGCTGATAACAGCACAGGCAGGAGCCTGGTCAGATAAACGTTCCCAGGCCTCAGCTTTGTTTAATCCATGTGTCTTTATTGGCCTCTAAGAGGCTCTTCATCAAAATGCAGTTTCGACATCTTTCCCCTCCCTCTACTATGAAAGCCAACTGGGCAATATTGTCAAGAACGAATGGCGGTGACATCGAGCTTCACACAACTGCACAAAACGCCCCACCACCCTTCCCTGGAGTGTTCTCCGTGCTCACCAAATGTGTATTCCCCCCAGGCTGTGAGGACTCGGCAGTTCTCCAGAACAGAGATTCAGAAACCAGCCTAGAAACCCAATCCCCAATCCCCAATCTAATTATCATGCAAATAGGGATTTTCTTCCTTTCTATTCCTCTCCTCCCAACCCACACCAAGTTTCCAGTTCTCAAACATAGTAAGTACGTTTATTATGACAAACCATCTGCCAGGACAGTGTGCCCAGTGCTTTGTGTACTCTCTCGGCTCAGCACAATTCAGCAAAGGATGGGCAGTGAGGTGCACCTGCCCGAGCCCCAGAGACCTCAGGCAGGGCAACCTAAGGAATGGCCAAATCCACGTGTGTGGGATCCCAAGTTCCTTCAACTATTCCCCTGCTGTCGTTCCTCAACCTGGCAAAGCCTTGGGAGGCAACAGCTACCTTGAGGGAAATAATTTTTTTCAAAGTAAATTAAAGGAATTAATTTCTACCTGCTTTCTGGAAAAAAAGAAAAACCACAACTATACTGTGAAATGGAAATTCTTTGTTCTTTATCAAAGTGAAGTAACCCCCCAGGAAAGAGAAAGAATATGTTCAAATCCATTCCCTTAAAAAAAAAAAAAAAGAAGAAGAAGAAGAAGAAAAAAGCTCTTCCCTTAAAGTTTCAAATTAGCTGGAAAGTTTCTCCCACTGCCATGAGGCTTCATGGATTAGGACCGAGGCAGCAGAGACCGCCCTCCTTCTCCTCCTCTGCCCTCTCTTTAGGCTCCCATTCAAACCAGGGGTTGGCAAGACAAATAGGGGGTGGGTGGGGGGACTGGGAAAGAAGAGCCAATCCAGGGGCCCACTTAAAATTGGAGCTGCTCCTGCCTCTGTCTGATCAGCAACTTCTAAAGCTAGCTTCCCAGGGTGTGAACTGTGCATGTCCATCCATGAAATGAAGAGTGCTAGCACATGGTCACGATCATCATTTCTGACTGCTCCTTCCATTGCCTAACCCCTCCCCCGCTCCAGGGTTGGATCACTGAACTCTCCCTAAAAGCTGCGGCCAAAAAAAGCTATCCACCAGTCAGCAAGTTACCTGGTAGAGTAAGGGTCTCAAATACACAAGCCTCAGGGCCAGGCCGTGGGAAGAAATGAGACCAGTGGGGATGTGGCCCTCTTGATTTATCTTTTATTAGTAAAGACACTTCTCTTCTTTACTGGACAACAAGAAACCCAACAGCAGCAAGGACAATGCTAATCAGAACCCCACCCTCTGCCTTCATTCAGTGTTGGGGTCTGAGGGGAGGCAATGGGAGGGTTACCAGATCTTACTATAGGGAAATCTGGGGGCACCTGCGTGGCAAAGTGGATTAGGCCTCCGGCTCTTGATTTCAGCTCAGGTCTTGATTCTCAGGGTTGTGAGAGATTGAGCCGGAGTCAGGCTCTGTGCTGGGCGGGGCATGGAGCCTGCTTAAGAGTCTCTCCCTCCCTCTGCCCCTCCCCCACTTGTTTCCCCTACTCTAAAAAAAAAAAAAAAAAAAAAAAGGAAGAAGAAGAAGAAAATGAAAAAAAAAAAACAAACTAGATCGTTATATTAAAATAGCTGATTTTGGGGCACCTGGGTGGTTCAGTCGGTTAACTGTCTCACTTTAGCTCAGGTCATTATCTCAGGGTCCCAGGATCGAGCCCCACGTCAGGCTCCCTGCTTAGTGGGGAGTCTCCCTCTCCCTCTGCCCTGGCTCAAGTTCAATCTCTCTCAAATAAATAAAACAGCTGATTTTCAAATGGTAGCAACTAATGCAGAACTGTGCAGACCAACATTCGCATCCGTGAGTTACACGGAGACTCCAGCAAGCAGACCCTATGTGAAGAATGTGACACCTTCCCCAAGTTCTGTCTGATCAGCAACTTCTGAAGCTTTATTTCCATAGGCAAATGGGGAAGGGAGGCAGCGCAGTGGCAGATGCCCTAGGCACCACAGCACAGGTGGCCAGGCCTTCTCAGTGAGGCGTCCAGGCTGGCTGTGAGACCCCACCACGAAAACAAAGTGCCCTGGCCTTTCAATGCCTACAGGTGATTTTGGACCTGAAGTCAAATCAGTCAAGGTGGGAAAGTACATGAGGGTTAGGGTTAGCAAGCATGCTGGAACCAAGGGAAACCAGTATACAAAGAAAAGGCATCCACCCAGCTCTCAGCTGGACCTCCAGCTAGACGATGGTCCAGCTGGGTGAGTGGCTGGGCAGGCCCCGGGAATGGCCCTGATCTCTCCTCCAGCTGTGGCCCTCCCTAACTCGGCACCCCCAAACCTCACATATGGATGGGATCTGCCCACCCGCAGCGACAGGCACGGCCGAGTCTGAGTTAGGAAGGTCTTTTAGACCACGTGCAACTTCTCTGGGTCACCTCTACACGGAAAGCACATTAGGGAATGAGTTTCACCAACTGCTGCAGGTGACCTCACATGCCCGCCAACAAACGGGCAGGTGAAGCTGCTCTGAAGCCCCCTCAAGCCTGAGAGGCCCCACAGTCCTCGGAGGGTCTCCCACCTGCCTGGAGGCATGGGGAAGATGACAAGTTGTCTCAAAGCCAAGGACCCGGACTGAGGCTCTGGGGGGCGGTGAAGACTGAGAGTCCATATTGCTTCGAGGAGAATTCCTGCCCACCCCACCCCAGGTTCTGTTTAAAAAGAAATCAGGAACTAGAAACCAAGGAGGGAAGACAGGGCTGCCCGGGCAGTGCAGGGGACTCCAAGCCCCGGCTCCGGCAAGGCTCCAGTTTGCACCTGAGCACAGAAGTGGCGGTGAGAACCTGGGACAGAGCAAGAGCTCCAGAGAACGCTGGCTCCCGGCCTTGGGCTGTTCCTTCAAGTCCCAGTCTACGTCCTCCGGTAGGTGATGGGAAGTTATTCTTCCTGATGATCATTAGACAGCAGGGCTGGTAGAGGGCTGAGGTCACTCCTGGTCTATGGTAATTCACCTGCCGGTTCTGTTCTCTAGAGCAGGCTGCGGGGATGGGCCGGGCCAAACACAGCTGTCCCCTCCCCTCAGCAACTGGCAGCAGGTCATGTCAGGGGCCAGGATGA